TAACTTCTTCTCATCACCGTAGAATTTCTTCACCACATCATACATATCCTTGGATGCAGTGCTCTCCCAGTTACAGTAGCCGCCGCCATGCAAGAAGGCTGTACACGAGAATAGGTTTGACGTGCAGTACATCCGTAAATAGTTTTCTCAACATCGAAGAGTTTGGAGCGACTTATGTCGTGGGCTGCCTAGCTAGGTGCTTGAACCGCGTTTCAAATTAACATGTACCCAGCAGGGAAGTCGGGAACAAGCAAACTATGCCGAGAAGTTGCGAAATCGTATCGCCGCAATGGCAGCAGATTGTCTTAAGGAGTCGGTAGCCGATACCACATTTGTGGAAGGTCTCCGAGCGAAAACAGTTGCAGCGTACGCCAAGAACTTCTGTATTTGCTATTACCTCTCTAGAATACGTTAAATATCGCAATAAACGCGTTGTACAACTTTTATGTCGCGTGTACGGCTGGGTTACCGGGAGTGGAGCCTCTTTGAGCTCTTCGAGACAGCATCAGCCATGTTACAAGAGCGACAGAGAGATCTTGACTGCCGAGCAGCTTTCAACGGGGTCGTGATGAGCCTTGTACATATAAAACTATGACGCAAAGAATCTTTGCACATTGTACACAGAGGTTCTCTTTAGGGCTCCACCTGGGAGCAGAATCGATAGCCATTACAGTAGATGGGTACTCGATCAGCTCCTCTATTTTGAATCGGAAACATACGAAGAATCAACTCCAGATTTAATGAGTTTTACTGTATCCATCTACAAAAACATCGATATTGCTTGCTGTGGGCTAAGGCTAAAAGCCCTGATGTCTATCCTTTACGGATATTCATCGTCTCACTGAAAACCCAATTTTATTAAATTCTGACTAAAACCAAACTAACACCATAGAAAATCTCCAATTACATTCGCACAAATGGTATTTTCTACAAATGTACGGAATTGTGAGCTGTACGTACTATTGTGTACAGTACGAAGGTCATAAGCGGCAACGGTTCTGGACGGACTCAAGGGCTTCCGTATGATCGACAATCCACTCCGTGCGTTCAGCACTCTCTTGGTGTCTTCCAGGACAGCTTCATTCAGAAGCAATGATGAGTTTATCTCCTCGTCTGGTCGTACGATGACCACTTCTGCCAAATCGCCTTCCTTCAAGGCACC